TTCTGTGATTCTGTGATTCTGTGAATACTTTGCTCAAAATTCTGAATGATGCTATGTGGCCTTATAAAGAGATACAGCAGTGTGAAAGCAAAGGCTTTCCTAAATGCACTAGTATTAATTTATTTGAAAACATAATTTAGGTGTGTAACAAAAAGTGGATATTATTTGTTCAGCTGATTATAAAATTTTTGGTTGTAGCAGTGATAGATCAGTAACATTTTTATAATTTAGTCATAGACCATGGATATGGTCAGGCATTTCTTCAACTCTATGAATAGAGGTATCTGAATTAATCCATGTTTCCCTTATAGTTTATGAGATGATACAATTCTGCACACTTTGTATTGTTTCTGTCTGAGCCAAAGTCTCAAAGGGCAAGAAAGTTTCAGCAGTATGATGAGAAGTTCCTCTGTGTATGCTCTTGTGTACGTATACATTTTTCTGTAGGACTGTGTAGCCACAAAAAATCTGCTAATTTGGCAGTGCTACTGCCCATAAATGTAGTGGGTGTCTTGATTTAAGTTTTTATTATTTTGTGTGTGTGGTTTGTTGTTCTTTTTCCCTTGGATGTCATAATTTACAAGTAAGAGGAAGGCAAAAGTATTCCTGCTTTTCTTTATTTCTCTGCTGTGTATCTGAGAACATAGCTTGCTTATACAATAGCCTTAATGGAAACTACGAATGCTAAAGTAGGACTGGTAATGACACTGAGTTGCTCTTTGGAAATGATAACTCATGTTGACCACTAACTCTAGGTTTATATCTGGTACTTCCACCTGTTCTTTTCCTACTTTACTTTATTTCTTGATTAAACAGTCTAGCTTTTGCATTTTATTTAATTTCATATTTTATTTAATAATACTAATTTTAGGAAACAGCTCACTAATCCAGTACAGAAGGGCAGAGGTTGCCTGGGTTCTACATTTCCTAAAAACTGAGGTTTTTTAGGTATCCATAGTCTCTGTTGAGGATTTGATAGTTGCTGCAACTATGCAGTCAGGAGGATTTGTATGATAATGTCTTCTAAACAGCACAGCTGATGAAGTGTGCTACTGCAGAACTGAACTGTGGTGTGAGCAATACAGCTTTTATTTCATCTTTTTACCTCTTGTTTTCATTGGTATAATGCACTGTGAAATCAGATGTGAAACTTGGGAGCATACCAGTAAAGGATATAACTAGCTGCAGAAGGAATAAATACAGTCAGATACCTTTTATCTCCCAAGGGAGAGAAAAGAAACAGATGCATTCCGGTGAATTAGTGAAAATTTGGGTTTTAAAATTTTCCAGCCAGTTCTTGTGGCTGTAGCTGAGCCTTTCAGGCTCTGCTGGCTGCAAACTATGGAGATGCAGACCTTTTTTTCTTTCTTTTTTTGCCTTTTTAAAAAAAAGATTAAACAAAAGATATTCGGCACTTGCGATAATCGTGGCCCCTCCTACTGTACCAGTTGAAACCACTCCCTACATAACCAAAACATATCACTCCCTATGAGTCTGAAGGTATTTTACATTTCAGTACAAGCTTTTGTGCACTGAACCACATTTCTTACAGAGAGTTCATTTGAAAAAAAGGAAAGTAATTTTTTTTAGAGACAAATAAGAATGACTTAAACAGCACCTCATTTTCAGAGCTCAGAAGCACCGTAAAATTGAGCTTGAGGCACTAATCTGCTTCAATTGAAAATACTGGAATTATGTAATCTAGTAATTGTTTTGGTGTTGATTTCTGTTTTCCAGTTCAGAATCCAATGCATATAGCATTTAAATTGTTGCTAAAAGTATTTAAGATTATATATTTATGAATGTAAAGCTTATTAATGTAGAATCATATCACAGATCTTTGAGGAGCTTCTTGTAATTTTGAGTAAATTTTAGCACAGGACTCATAATACTTACATGTCTTCAGGTTCTGTGTTTTTCATTTCAACTGTGCCTTCTGTCATGGCTTGGATGACTTATATTTCCCACTGGTTTGATGAAGATGATTGGTATGAAGGACAACAACGAGTAAGAATTGTTTAAATCATTATTTTCTCTTTTACTTCCTTTATATTTTTTTTTCTTTAAGCTGCTGTTTATTATATTACTAGTACCAAAAGTAATATTCCCATAACGGTAGAAAGTAGGGATTTTTTAGTAGTTTTAATGAGGTCTTGAATCATAGATAAGCACATCTAAAATTATTTCTTTGAAAATTAGTGTTGCTAGCTGGATAAAAGATATTGAAAGTTTGCTAGCCACCCACTTGCATTTTTTAGGTTGCATAATTTAATAAGTAGTAATTCTTTAATATGTAATAGGATAGAAATCAAGCATTTACTTGTATTGTATTAGGAGGAATTAATATACTGCACATGAAATAAGGTAAAATAATTATAAGCAGTAATTGAGTAAAACAAAAGTATTTGAAATATATTAAATTCACCTAGGGACATTTCCAGATTACACCTTGGTTATCTGTATATTTTTGTTAACATTTTTCCACGGAGGAGGAGTCGTTACTATAGCAACATTTGCAGGATATCTTGGATTTTTTTAAATGTTCATTAACTGCGTGCCTTGGGCAAGCTTGATCTACTGCTGCCTGCATAGATTTATGGTGGGAAGTGAATAGGCTCCTTTATGTAACTATATATTTCTGTAATTTCTATTTCTCATTTTGACAGTATATTCTCAGCTATTGAATCGGAATGCAGGAGATGCTACTGATACATAAGGGCCAACAGCTATTTAAATTGTATTATTGTGTATTACTTGGTTTTTATATAAGCTATATGCTTCTAAGTGTTTAAAACTAGCAGATTTTAGTATTTTTTCACTATTCTCATGTTACATGTCACTCGTGATATGTTTCAGATGTGAAATTATCTTTTAATAGCTGCTTATCAGGGATTCAGATCTAAAATGTCTCAAGAGGTAACTTTATCTGAAATCAAAAATGTCTTCTTGGCAATTTGCCAGCAGAAAATAAATCTTCTGGTGATGATGGCAGCTCTGGGTTGGAAGATGAGAACAAAATTCTTGTGGAGGCTCTTGGATGCATTATACTGAGATCAGATATGGTTGTATGTATTTCTTTGTACTACATGCGGTACCTGAAAACTAGATTTCTGGTACTATACTCCTTAGATGATGGTTTTGTTACCATTGTTAGGTATGACATCTTGGGCTGATTAGGTGGGTAGTTCAGCATCGCTAGTGCTATGTTGTTAGAAACAGCAGCATTTCTCTGTGCTCTGTTTTAAACCATACTATTACTCTTGATTATCTTGTTAAAATTGCATGATAAATGATATGCTAGTTAAACTGTACAACTAGTATAGTCAAGACAGTCAAAACCACTCCTTTCTAAGACTTACTCCAAGTTAGGATTTTTAATGTTAAATTGTTGGAAGGGATCTTAAAGATTATCCAGTCCAACCTTACTGCCATCGGAGGGGACGCCCACAACTTTCCTGGCAACCTGTTCCAGTGTCTCACTATCCTCACAGTAAAAAATTTCTTCCTAATATCTAGTCTAAATCTACCATCTTCTGGTTTAAAACCATTCCCCCTCATTCTATCGTTTTACTGACTAGCAAAAGAACACGATTATTTAAATATCATTTTAAATGAACAAGTGTTCTACTAGTGTTCACACCCATTTTAAACCTCCACAATAAACTCAGAGCCAAATTACAGAATCACAGAATGTTAGGATTTGGAAGGGACTTCAAAAGATCATCCAGTCCAACCCCCCTGCCAGAGCAGGATCACCTAGACTACACAGGAACATGTCCAGGTGGGTTTTGAATGTCTCCAGAGGAGGCGTCTCCACAACCTCTGTGGGCAGCCTGTTCCAGATTTTAAACCTCCACAATAAACTCAGAGCCAAATTACAGAATCACAGAATGTTAGGATTTGGAAGGGACTTCAAAAGATCATCCAGTCCAACCCCCCTGCCAGAGCAGGATCACCTAGACTACACAGGAACATGTCCAGGTGGGTTTTGAATGTCTCCAGAGGAGGCGTCTCCACAACCTCTGTGGGCAGCCTGTTCCAGTGCTCCGTAACCCTTACAGTAAAGAAGTTTTTCCTCATATTCAGATTGAACCTCCTATGCTCCAGAATGATGGTTTAGGTTGGGTTACTAAAGCATGTTTGATTTTGATGGTGACTTAGGTATTAGTACAGGAGTCTGTTAGGAGCCTGGCAAGTTGAAGTAATTGCTTGACAGAGAAGATTTAGTAACACCAGACTGCAGTGAATTTTCATGTAAGACGGCTGGTTTGCTCTGAGATAGCATGGTGGCACCATGTAACTGGAGATACTCATCCTGCTGTCCACCAACACCCCCAGGTCCTTTTCTGCTTGGCAAGAGATTTACTACTAGAATTGATTTGGTTGGATGGATGGTTGCACTCAGAGAGTTGTGGTCAATGGCTCAATGTCCAAATGGAGACCAGTGATGAGTGGTGTTCCTCAGGGATCGGTACTGGGACCAGTGCTATTTAACATCTTTGTTGGTGACATGGACAGGTGGATCTGTGGAGATCAGTGGGAGATTCTGCCCCTCTGCTCTCGTGAGACCCTACCTGGAGTACTGCATCCAGTTCTTGGGCCCCCAACAAAAGAAGGACATAGACCTGTTGGAGCAAGTCCAGGGGAGAGCCATGAAGACGATCAGGGGGCTGGAGCACATCCCCTATGAGGCCAGGCTGAGAATTGGGTTTGTTCAGCCTGAAGAAGGCAAGTCTCTGGGTCAACCTTATTGCGATGTTCCAGTACCTGAAGATCGCCTACAGGAAAGAGGGGGAGGGACTCTTTATCAGGGAGTGTAGTGATAGGATGAGAGGTAATGGTTTAAATTGAGAGAAAGTGGATTTAGAGTAGATATTGGGAAGAAATTCTTTACTGTGAGGGTGATGAGACACTGGCACAGGTTGCCCAGGGAAGTTGTGGATGCCCCCTCCCTGGAAGTGTTCAAGGCCAGGTTGGACAGGGCTTTGAGCAACCTGGTCTGGTGGGAGGTGTCCCTGCCCATGGCAGGAGCGTTGGACTGGATGAGCTTTAAGGTCCCTTCCAACCCAATCCATTCTATGATTCTATGATCATAAGTTACAAAAGGTCATCTGCAACTGCTGGATACAAGAATCTTGCTGAGGCTTCTGATTTTTTTGAAGAATCTTGCTCAAATTAAAAGCCTCATCCAAGATGCTCTCTTCTGGCCTCTGGTTAATCTCTTGATTCTTCTGGAGCCACAGACAGTCTGTGTGCCATGAATTCTATACAAAAGTAGAAAAAACTTTCCTAGTCCTTGCACAGAAGCAGACAGACTCTCTGCCTATGTTGCTCTGTGGTAGACTAGTGACCAACCAGACACTTTAACAAGTGGTAGACTACCTAGATTAAATCCTGCGGGGAAGTATGAAGAGTTTAACTTTTGTTTAGAGCAGTACATGCATAAAGCTACATAATTATGCTACATTATTGTACATTGTGACTGTCATGATTAATATATTCAGTCTTTGCTCATCTCTTGCCCAGAAGCAATTCCTTAAAGTAGCATGTGTGTAGTCTCAGTAAAACTATTTATAGACCTACATTAGTAATTGCAGTTTGATTGGCCACATCAAGAACTGAAAATTCTTTACCGTTTTGCGGTACTCCACACAAAGTGGAGTGAAGATTTTTTTCTTTAAAGGGAGTAGCTTAACTGATACTGACATATCTGGTTCTTAAGAAATTATAACTGAAATATGATACTGCCATCTATTTCTTTGTTTCTAACCTTTTATTCCTATAGATCTGTTAAAAACTAGGATTGGTGATCTTGGACAATATACATATTTTCAAAGTTTTCACAGTGTAAGAGTTCTTCTCATCTTCTGGTGTTCTTACTTTTGAGATTCTTCAGATTCATAACCCAGTACATGTAAATTTATTTAAGTTTAATGGATAGATAGCATAGAATAGAATTTATAAAATGTGCTAACTTCTTAAATGCCCCTTCCAGAAACATTAAAGTTTTTGGAAATTTAATTGCTCTGTGTAGTCTTAGTAAATTTAATTTGTCTATTGGCTTTTAAGTTACATATGTACCAGAATAATTCCAATTATCCTTTACTTCATGGGTCTAGAAATAATAATCAGAATTTAATTTCTTAACATTGCTATAATAAGCTTGGTGTTTTCCAGCCCCAATGGAAGAGGGTTAATACTAACTATGCTTACGTTCTTACATGAGACTCTGCTATTGAGGCAGGCACAGTTGTAAGAAGTTGGTTTCCTCTGTGTCTTGCAGACACGCAGAGATTGCTTGGTAAGTTTGGTGACCTTAATGTTTTTGACAAGATAAATTCATTGTCCGTTTTCTGGTGCTTCAGACTGGTCCCATTGGATAGGGTGATAATTTGAAAGTGTATGGTTCACAGGTCACATTTTCATCTCATATGAATTTTACCACAAAGATGGTTAAATATACCCAATTACTTTAAGGAGAAATCACATTTTTATCACTAAAGAAGATCTTTAATTAATACATTATTATTGACATATTGATGAAAATACTAGTACCTGGGGTCAATAATCTGGATGAGATATAACACTTTTATACGTCTAACATACAGAAGAGACTGCAAGTTTCCCACATAGGAAAACATAGAAACTTAATTGGAAGATAGTGACAACAGAATGAACAAAAGCAGAGGACACTAACCCTTTACTACATATAGTTGTTCAGAAATTAGGGGTTTGTATATACAGGAGCATATTGATTAGCATAAAGATACTTTATATTCATTTTTGTCTTCATGCCATATTGTGTATGCACTCATTTGGACAGGTCATACACCATATAGACCACAATCACTAACAGTGTAAGCGTGTGTTACTGGCTATGCATGATGGCTATACATTTACGAATACTTACAACGTGCAAGCATATCTCTTGATAATGAAAGAATATTAAGTTATGGATTTAAAGAGCTATTATTATTCTGTAAATATCATTGTAGTACAATTGGGAA